AGAACAGGATCAGAGAGTGCTTCACTGAGTGAGCAATGGAGAAAGGAAAAATGACATGAAATTTGTAGAACTTTTATAGTTTAAAATGCCGTTTCCCCAGGTAATTGCAGTCCCCATCACTTCTTCAAGGGTGGAGACAGAAAAGTGCTGGGCAACAAGGCACAAATATCTGTAAGGTGGCAGAAGTGATGGTTTTTAGGAAGAAAAAGCACCTTCCCAGCACTGACCACCATTAATGTGGTAGAAATGCCTTTTTTTTTGGGATCCTGGCAGGCCACTCTTTGATCTATTTGAGCTAAAAAATGGTGAGGGTTCAGTTCTTTCTGCTGCAGTTTTGTTTCAGCTGCCTCTGTTTGACCCCCTCCATATTTTTGGATTTTTTGGAGTATTTTGATGGAAAGGTAGTATTCTTTGAATGACATTTATCCATCATTTATGAGAGTAATGCATATTCTGCTTTTTCTGCAGTGAATTTTGAATGCAGCCACACTGCAGAGCTGACAATACAAACTCAAAAAAAAGGGAAAAGGTGCAGTTATTTTAGGTTTTACAAGGCTGGAAACAGGGAAAGCTGTTTTGATTTTCAGCCTCTATCCCTCTTTAGTGGGAGTTAGGATTTACAAGGGCTTGGAGGGTGTAAAAGCATTTCCCCAGATTAGGTGATGCTCATTCCTCGGTCTCCTTTAAAAACATTAAAAGAAATTTCATCAGCTCATGGAATTCAGGATGTCAAATTAGAGTCTTACACAAATAATCCAGGTTTTGGGGATCTTGTCGTGCTAAGTGGGTTCTTTGGCATTATTTTATTCTGGATGGAGCCACAGCAGAACCACATTAGAAAAGGATATTGTTACAACACTTTCTGTATCAACAATGCTACTTGCAGGGGAATAATCTGTTCCAGATGACTGTTAAGAACGTCTGTCCTTTTCAAAAGGGATTTTTTTTTTGTTTAGTTGATTTATTCTGATAAAATTTGGGATCATTTAGGCTCCTGTCAAAGAGTCAGTAAACATGAAGATAATGTGATTTGCAGAACGGGCAGTCTGAGAGGCTACTTTGATTTAATTCAATTAGATGGGCTTTTATATTGGATTTATTYGTTTTATCTCGAGTATTGCAGCAAATTTTTTTCTTCATAAAAGAGGAGGCAGAGTACAATTACTGCAGACATCAGAACTGCTGGGTTAATTCCAGGGCTTTTCCATGCCAAATAATGGGACTGCAGTTACCTGCAGGGGGTTGTGATAAAATAAAATAAAAAGCAGGGTCTGATAAAATGGAGGAGATTTTGAAGAGAAAACTCTGTTTGTGATGTATATCACCCCAACATTTCCCACCAGATCCATGTGCAAGGCAGGCATCAATGGAACTGTTTGAAATTACAGCAAAAAGAGAATTTAAACTTGGCTTTGCTGGACAGGACTGAGGGGAGCCTGTTAGGTCAAATTAAAGTTACTGTAAACTTAACYTAAACAGGTTTATTTGGTCTCTCTGTGTCCTTCCTTTGTCCTGGCCCTGGGATAACACCCATTATTTTTACATGTTTTTTTAGCACTGATGAGGACACAGTTTGGTATCTCCTTTCCATCTCTGCTGTCCCTCTGCACCAAACCATCCTGCACAGAGGAGCTGCAGCCTGGGAATGTCCCTGGATGGTGCTCAGGAGCAGCGGTGAAGGTAAAATATTCCATGGCCAGTTTAATTTTTTAACTTCCTTCTGTCTTTCTGGTCTTTCAGGGGTTTCAACTCATGGTTTTGTGCCTGTCCCCAGGCACAAGGGAGTGAACAAAGGCTGTTGTGATGTGACTCAGCTTTTTATTGTCTGTTCTTCTYCAAATTTGCTGTGTCTGGGCTCTCTCCCAGCTTCTCCCGAGGACATTTTTGAGGATCAGGTATTCCCAGGAGGTGTGGGGAGAGCAGCGGGGGCTGACTTTTTGCTGGGTGCCTTTTTTTGCCTTGGTGACCACCCTGGCAAAGCTCAACTCTCTGCTCTCTGCATTCCCAGCACATCCATATTCATCTTCCAGCAGCTGGATTTTCCCTCTGAGGACTTCATTTCAGTTTGGAGTGTTTCTCCAGCAGGCATTAATRAAGCCTGAAAGGCTTTGGAGGATTTTCCCCAGAGCTGCTGAGCCTCCAGCAGTGGAGGAGTTTTGAGGAGCTTTGTTAGTCCTGGATGAGCAGATTCCTGTTTTGTGTTTGAAACAGCTCTGCACTCGCTTGGTTAAAAAAATATTATGGTGGGGATAACTACCTGAGCCACCTCTGCAGGGCAGAGAGCCCAAGGAGAGTTCCAGAGGAGCAATATTAAATCCAGAGACATCAACATTAGTGAAGCAGGGCTAAATCATCTCCAGCTGCTGCTGGCTCTGGCCTGAGGCTCAGAAATGAGCAGCTCCCTGGAAAAGCAGGGAAGATGAAGGCTGTGCTAACARAGCCAGAACCAGCTTGGAGCTCGGGTCACGTTCTCTTTCCAGCCCTATCAGGTCCTGTCTGGGATGGTTTTTCACCTCTCATCTCTTGTGTCCCAGCCACTCCATCAAARCCAAATTGTTTTGGCAGTGAGGAAGAATCCAGAAGGATCCAGCACAAGCTGCCCCTGYGTCCAAACTCTGGGTGAGAAGCAGAGATGCCTTGAAACTTCTGTTTTTCTTCATTCAATTAACTCTTCCTAACTGTTAATTGCATGTTAATGTGGKCAGAACTCGCTGCCAAGGGCTTCTGTTCTCACTGACCAGCASCATTGAAATATTTGAGGAAAATGATGGAGAAACATCAAGCATTGCTCTGTGCTGAATGTGGTTTAGAATAGCGAAGTATGAGCGAATTAAAATCAGCACTGAAATAACCTGGGTGTTCAGAAACCTTCACTGTGTGTTTCTGAGCAGCTCTTGTGACAAAAGGGGTCTTAGAGGAAACAGGGATTTCAGACATGAATTATTTACTGCTGTGACAGATAAGGTCTGCTGTCACATACCCCACCCTCCTGCCACTGTTATTTTTAATTAATATATTTAAATTCCCTGGAAAACCCTGTTTGCCAAACAGATCTTTGTATCTAAGCAACCACATTGAAAATACCTGTGAGAATGCCTGAAAATTCCTAACACTACCCAGAGCTGCAGGTGGATCGGTCACTGGGCTGCCTCTGCCATGAGAAATTAAAGGAAAACTTCTGCTCCACATCTCCCAGGGATCCTTTTCCAGGATTCTCCCCCAGGGTGGGCTCTGCCATGCTGCAGCCTGGACACAGCTCCTTATCAATCAGGCTGATCTGAAACAGAGGCCAGACAAAGTTAAGAGAATGAGAATAGATAACTTTAATCCAGGCCTAACAGCCCCCTGGTACATTAGGGCAGACAAAGCCTCCTCCTGAGGCTACACCCAAAATGGGCACTGGGTCACGAGATCTTCACCTTTTATAAGTTCTGCCTTATTAACATATTGGGTCTTAATTCTCCAATGATCTTTCCAGGTGATGATCTCAACCACCCCAAACTTGCTCCCCAAAATTCTCTGTTGTTTCCATGTTTTGGGGCTCTGAGGTGTCCTTGGATTCAGGCTCAGAGAGGGATTGTTTTGTCTAAAGATGGGAGAGCAATAATTTTTAGTGCTGTACTAGCAAAATACAAGAATACAGATRYATGAAAATATAGAAACTAAAAATCCTAAGGCATCACTCTAACTGTGCAAACACCGTGTGCTCCTGGGTGGAAAGCAGGGGATGGAGCCAGRAGCAGCAGGACAAGAGGAGGAACAYCCAGAATCAGCTCTCAGCTCCCTTTTTGATTTTCTGTTGGTTTTCCCTCCTTCCMTTCCAGCAGGGAGCTGTTTCCAGGGGCTGAGGTGCAGAAAATAAACCCAGCTGGGCTCAGTGACTCAAWATCTCTGCTGCCATCTCGAGTAAGAGGAAAGTCTGAACATCTGATCAACCTCTACCTGCTTGATCAGGGTTTTAAACGTGAGTTTTGTTAAATTAGCCAGGCCAGACTGGTGTCTGGTGTGTGAAGGGTTGGAAAGGCTCTGTTTGCACCAGGAAAGGTTCCCACACTCTCTGGAGAATTTGTGATGCTGAAAACTGAGAACAAATGAAGCAAAATGCTGTTTTAATCACCAGCAAGATTTCTTTATGCTCTTGGTGGTTTTAATTGGGAGAGATTCTTTTCAAAGTTATGGTAAATCCAGAATAATCCTGCGTTAGGTGAGCTGGTTTCCATACTGCTGCTGTAGATAAACATGCATAGAAATAAGAGAAGGGTTTTTCCCTAGTTTTGGCTGTTTTTCACTGGGATGAGTTATCCATAATTAAATCTGATTGTCTATAGCTTATCACAATGGACAGGGATCTGCCTGCTAACAGAACATAAACAGAAAAATAATAATTTTTGAAGGTGTGGACATCATAATTTAGTTTTTCCAACTTGCATTTAATTTACCCATCTTACCTGAGCAAGTACTGCTTTCTCTGAAAGCCCCTTGTCCTTATTGCTCTTGTCTGGGATTGATTTTTCAAGCAAAGATTAGATTAAATTCCTGTAAAAATATTTAATACACCTGATCAGAAGCTTGGGGTTCAGCAATGCTGTGCACTCAGCAAATGCTGGATATTTTCCTCATATCTTATTCTAAACTCATGAATACACAACTGGAACACACATTTGGTGAAGAAATTACCTAAAAATCACATGTTTAATTTAAAGTACAATGGAATTGTTGCTTGTCTTGTAGTGCTTAAGCAATATTAGAAACCTTTGCCGAATCTCTGTTTCACAGATTAAAATACAAATATTTCCAGTGCAACCAGAATTTATTAAAGCAGSCTATTGCCTAGGGAAATACATCTTTGGATGTGTTTCTATCAACTCTCCTGGGGGAAAAAARTGAATGTAATTAGTGTTGCATAATCTTCTAGAGAGAAAAATGGGCCAAAACYTAAGAGCATAAAGAGAATATTGCAACTGTGGAGTGCAAATTGCTCGTGGCTGCCGGGCTGGTTATTATTCCTGGGGGCCAATGCCAGTTAGAAAATCCCAACTGGAAGAAAGCAGAGAGCCTGGAGATGTCCTGGAGAAAGAGGAGATGARCTGTTGTAAAAAACTGGGAAAACAGAGTCTGAGTGACGGGTAATTTGTTTTACACACACCTTGTATGCCCATCAATGAAATCCAGGCCAAAACAAAATTATCCCAGTCCCTGGTGATGGAATTTTRCTCTGAATTGCATGTCAGATGGTTTGAATGGCTGAATGGCTTGTCAGATGTTGCTCAATAATTTTCACTAATTGCYCCATTCTTTCTCCTTTGGCACAGTGGAATGGGTTGTGTGGATCAGCTCCTTGCTGCCTCTTCCAATTACAACAATTAACTGATTAAACTCAGCCCCAAGCAGTGAGATCAGGTCTGGGTGGTTCTCMCAGTGCAGTGACTTTATTTGGTGGGGAAGATTGAGTCTGGGACTGAGCAGGGCTGGTTTTCCTCTTCATTTTTCCTCTTTTTCCCTTGTCTCCTGTATTTATTCTCAGCAGGGATTTTCTTTTCAGCATTTCTGAGCAGCACCTGAGCTGGAAGCTTTCATCCCCTGAAAAAAGAGCAATAAAGAGCCTTTTCCCTCTGCTGAGAATTCAGTTTTTATGCAGAATTCTGGCCTGGAGGYCACAGTGAGCAAGGGACCATGGAATAACAACCCTGTGTTATCCTCTAACAAAACTGAAATCAGAAACCAAGCTTGGCTTAGAGAACTACTCCAGAATTCAGGGCTGGTTTCTCTGTTCCTCCCCTGAAATATCTGGGGGAAAAAACAGAAAAAAAACCCGAAACAAACAGGCTCCATCATTAAAAAAAATAAATAAAAAAAAAATCAGTATTTCTTCAGGTTTGTGCTTGTTTCAGCTTTCCAATCCCCTGCAGAAATGGCAAGCTTTTCTCCAGAGCACTCAGCATGTTGGTTGAGGATTTTTCCCTTTTRCGCTGCTGCTGAATATATATTATGAAAATGGATTTGAAAATATATAAAATATATGAATATATATAAATATATGAAAATATATTTGTGTGTGTGTGCAAGAGATGTGAGATCAGATGTGCAAATATATAATGGATTCTTGGAGATAAAAAGGACTTAACCTTTGCTTTTGGGTTTTTTTTTTTTTAAGTGGTCTGTCTTCTCTCTGAAATTTTTGTGTTTGCATTTGTTTTATTTAGAAGGCAACACTGAGGCAACACTATTTTGGAGGAATTTAATATTCTTCCTGAATTATTAACTTGTCTGAAGAATGGCAAAGACAGAAAATCTGGGGGACAGAAAGAGAAATCAAAACTGCCCAACAAAATGCTGCATCATTTCYCTGGAAGGAACGTTGTTCAKTTTAYTGYAAAGCTGCTGATTATTCTTGTGATCAGTCAAAGGTCAGCTCATTCTTGGTGATTCTCCGAGATAAAAACCGTTGATTTGTCTCCTTTTTTWTWWTAWWWTWTWKTGWWAWWWWTMTCTYTTTTTTTATTATAGCAAAAATRCAGCRTGAAGACACTGAAGAGAATAGATYACAAAAAATYTTACAACYRGAAAAATTGGCTTTTGGTGACATTTGAATCTTCACTGGGATAAAACTGGATCCAGAWTCCATCACAGGAGCCTTAAAGTAAGAAAAAAACAAAACAAGGGACAAGATAAATGCTTTTAGACCCCGAACCAGTTATTTGTAAGATACAAGTCAAAATATAAATCCTGGGTTAATTTTTGAGAAATTGGGAGATTAGAGTTGAAGATAAATGAGTTTGGCTGTGATGGAAGAATCCCTTAAAAATGGTGTTTTATGTGCTGGAAAAGAGCTTGTAAAAAAGCAAAAGCATTCCCTCAAACAGAGAGCACAGCACCAACATAAAAAATCGTGTTTTCAGTGGGATTTKCCCTCCTCACCTCCCACACTGGAGTTGGACCTTGAAGAGCATCATTTTTGTTTTCTCCTCTGCTGAGCCAATGACAGATCTGAGGAAGCATCAACGCCAAAAAAGCTCGAGGTGGCAGGAATTCTGCTCACAGGGGACAGCAAATATTCTCCTCAAGGCTGGCTACTCCTGACTAAACAGTTTTCAGCAGRAAAAGCCAAAAACTTGCCCAGAGGCAGTGGAGTGTTCCAGATGAGTCCCATGGCTCCTCCAGGATTCAGTGGGTGAGGTAATGCTCTCCCTGGCTCCTCTCTCCTCTCCTGCTGCCAGCCCTGGTTCAGGCTGCACTATTTGCTCTTTGTTTGCTCTTTATTTGCTCTTTATTTGCTCTTTATTTGCTCTTTATTGGCTATTTACTCTTAGTTATTTGCTATTTACTCTTAGTTATTTGCTATTTGCTATTTACTGTTCGATATTTATTTGCTATTTGCTATTTACTGTTCGATATTTATTTATTTGCTATTTGCTGTTTACTCTTTGTCTTTTATTTATTTGCTATTTGCTATTTACTCTTAGTTTTTTATTTATTTGCCTTTTTCTTTAGCCAGGGGCTGACGTCACCCACGGTGGAGGAATCCAGCCCAACTCCTGACAGCTCCTTGTGCCATTTTCCTTCTTGGCAGGGGGAATTTGTCTTCTCACCTCCCATAAAATGTGCAGGTTGAGTGGAAATCACCTAAAATTCTGTTCAAGGGGGGTTGGCGTTGCCGTGCAGTTCCTCTGAGGTCTCTTGGACACCTGGGKGAGTTTGGGATGAATCAGTCTTTGGCCACAACTGGAGAGGAAACGGCCTCAAGCTGAGCCAGGGGAGGTTGAGATTGGAKAGTAGGAAAAATTTCTTCATGGAGAGGGTTATCAGGCGTTGRAGCTGGCTGCCCAGGGAAGGGGTGAAGTCACCATCCCTGCAGGGATGTGAAAAACGGGTGGATGTGGCATTTGGGGACACGGTGGGACTCGATGGTCTTGGAGGTCCTTTCCACTCTTCATAATTCTGTGACATTCCTATTTTCTTTAGGGGTTCTGGATCTAAAAGCATTTATCTTGCCCCTTGTTTGTTTTGTTGTTTTTATTTTATTTTATTTTATTTTTATTTTTTATTTTTAGATTCCTGTGATGGAATCTGGATCCAGTTTTATCCCAGTGAAGATTCAAATGTCATCAAAAGCCAACTTTTCCCATTGTAAGGTTTTTTGTGATCTATTCTCTTCAGTGTCTTCACGCTGTGTTTTTGTTATAAAAAAAAGGAGATAAATTATTACGGTAAATTATAATTTATTATAATAAAAAGAAGATAAACCAACAGTTTTTATCTCRGAGAATCACCAAGAATGAGYTGACCTTTGATCACAAGAATTATCAGCARCTTTGCAGTAAAACTGAACAACGTTCCTTGCAGGGAAATGATGCAGCATTTTGTTGGGTAATTTTGATTTCTCTTTCTGCAGACATACTGATTTTCCAACCCATGTGTAAAATCCTAGTTTAGGATGGTGAAAATTAGGAGAACTGAGTGATGGTGATGGGAAAAGGGGTTCTAATACAACCTTGGATTTCTCTGATTGACAAAATCCCGATGAAACCATGGGAACATCTCATCCTGAGGGGAGAATGAGTGAGTACATGGAATTTTGAGTACTTTTACAATTTCCCCCTTAGTTTTGGTTCTCTGGACAGCACATTCCAAATTTGTTCTTTCCACTTTTTATTCGATGTTGAACACATCAACGGTTTAAAGGAATTTGGGCTGGATTGCTTTGAGTCAGAGCAGAGCTCAGCYTCAACTCCTGCAATTATTTCAGTTTGGATTTTCCTGTGTAGGCCCAGCTYAGGAAAATCTTGCCATTTTTGTAGGAAATAAAGGGAAAAACTGAGCATTTCCCTGCCAGAGAGTGAAACACTGCAAAAATGAAACACAATATAAGCTCTCTGAAATAAATCCCACCTTAATTTTGGTGAGTGGAGTTTCACAAACGTGTGGATGTTTTCACAAATTGTTCGTGCCAGGTATGATCTCTACTGAAATTCTCATATTTTCAGATAAAATACATTCCTCCAACAAATSTGTCAATTTTGCTCTCTGGGACATAACTTTCCTTTTAGTTTTAGAAGGTTGCTGACAGTCCCAAATTTAAGTCAGAAGTTGGTACCATGCCTAACATTTGCAAACAAAAATAAGAACCAAAATGTTTTGTTTCTGTCCTTTTAGCACTTTAAATTTTTGTTCATTATTAAATGTTTTAATTTCCTTCCCTTTGGTGACCTTCAAAATTCTATTGCGAATGAAACCAACTTGTTTTTTTTCCATAAAATAGTATTAAATGAAGCTTTTTTTCCATAATTATTTCAARTGTTKATCAGCTGATCTCTTTCCWGAAAGGAAAAGAGACCAGAAGTCCTGTGAAATATCACCAAGAAATATCCACTGATAGAGGCATTTGTTAATGTGGGGGAAAATATACTTTAATATTAAATATTAATGTATATTTTATAAATATTTATATAAAATATCAAAAGATATTTTTATAAAAATATACTTGGTATGTTTTTTTTTTAAATATTGCAGGCATTTCTTACTTCTGAGAACTTACTACTGCTTATGGAAAACAAAAAAGAGAAATTCCAGCTGGTGCATGGAGGCATCAGGTGTTGGCTACGAAGAGTTTGCCAGGCAGGGACAGGTTTATAAAAATCCTTGGACCCCACATAGGGGAAATGAGATTTTAATCAGATTTCACTCAGGTGTCCAAAAAAGGGTATTTATTTCTAAATCACCAGTGACCTGTGACTACTTCCTTGCAAACCCAGTTGTTATTCCCAGCGGGAGTTCCTGTTTCTTGACAGATCTGAAATTCAGGCTGCTTTGCATTTGGAAATCAAAAGGAGCCCTTTGTGCTTCTGAAATCCCGGCCTTGGCCAAGTGCTCTGCAGCCAAGAACAAAAGTTAAGTGAACTCAGAGAGAACAAGTCATCAGCCTGACCTTTGGTCATCAGAAAAATGTAAAACATCTTCAATTTATTCCCCAAATTCAAGGCAGGTTTCCTCTGTGCTGGACATTCAGTGAAAAAAACTGGGAATTTCACAAATTACCCAACCTGAAGTCGCTGCTGGCTGTGGGATCTCTGGGTGATTTGTACTCTCAGTTTGTAAAGACCAGAATCCATCATTCCAACCCGGTGGAAAGAGATTTTAAGGTTTTTTTAATTTGGTTTGGGTTTGATCTTTTATTGTGGGGTTTTTTTTTTTGAGGAGTGGTTTGAGGTTGTTTTGTTTGTTTGTTGAAATTGTTGTAAAGGAATTTTTCCAGCATAGTTTGGACTGGAGCTTGTTTAAATTTCTGTTTACTCCAAAGGGTTGTTATGGAAGAGCAAACCTAATGGCTCTAAAGCAAAATGAGTAAATGATAAATGAATGTGTTTGGCAGCACTRAAGCAAAATAAGTTTGTCTGGAGAGAAAGGAGCTGAAGGTCCTGATATTTTGCTTTTCTCCTCTCCCTCCTCCTGCCTGAATGGGTGATGATCTCCCATGTCCATCAGGTCATCGTCCATCATAGGATTTGAGAGATTTCTTAAATGATTTTTATTTTATTTTATTTTTAATCACTACACAGACAAAATAATCATTTTTGGAGGTAACAACTGGAAGAACAAGGAGCTCCTCACAGTGAAAGCCCCAACGTGTGGAAATGTAAAGTTAATGTAATAAGAAATACCTGAAAATGTAAATAGAGATTTTGCTGTTCACTGCATTGCAAATATCAAACTGCACCCAGGAAAGRAGGGAGCTGATTTAAAAACTGATTTAATAACATCTGCTCTGGATAACTTTGAAATGTTTGCCATGGTAATTACRTGGTAATGCTATGATTTCACACTGMTTATCATCTCAGAAGTGCRCTGGTTCTAATTATACATCACCCAGAAAAAGGGCCTTGCTGCTTTCTCTCTTTAAATTACTGTTTTTATCCCCACACCACCTGTCCAGGTAGGTAATATTATGGCTACTGGTGCTTCTGAGAACCACCTGATYATTGATGGATTTATGCTCACTGCATTAAAATCCATTTTCTGAACCCTGCAAATTCACAAAAAACTTATAATTATTGCTGCATTTCAGTCAGAGAAAATCTTCAAAACAGTGGTAGGGGATTTAAAGTGGTTTTCTGTGAATAAAAGCAGAAAAGTTCTGTTCCAAAAATACAGTGAGTGGCTCGTGCCTCACCATTTTGCATAGCAACAGGTCCTTTGTTAAGCTTTAGTCTGTCAGACACCTCTCCCCATATGCAGCAGAGTTACTTTCCTTTCAAATCAGCCTCCAGAGATGCATGTGCAGCTTCCATGGCTTGCAGACATCTCCTCCCACCTCTTAMCTCGCCAAAGAAATGTTATTTCTGACGCCCTGCCCACAGTACTTTGTGTTCTCTCTTAATTAATCAAAGTGTCCTTATCTTTGCTGCGCTYCATCTTGTCTAACGAGCATTCCCAAAAGCACCTGAATTTTATTTCTAGGAATAAGTGCGTTGTCTTATTGGGACCATGTGTTCTTCAGAGCCTGCCCTGTGCCCTCACACAGGAGAATYCACTCAGATTCATTCCCAGAGCATGAACTTTAAGCACTCATATTATTTTTATTAAATTTAACTCTGGTTCTTTCTCTCCTCTGCCCTTTCCCCTGCACCCTCCAGCTATATCCAGSCTCAGAGTCAAAACAGGAACAAATGGAAAACACATTGACCAGGATTATGTCCATCTGGAGGAGGATTGAGGTCCATTCCAGACTGGGAAGATTGTGTTACAGCAGCCAGTTTTGCCTTGGGTTATCATCCTAAAATACCTGTGAAGGTGAGTGGATGCCTGAGCACCAAGGAAAGGAGGGACATCCTGGGAAATGTCCCAGCAGGAAGTGTTGGTCAACCTCAAAAATCTCTAAAATCCATCCTTTCAGTGGCCACAGTCTGGGCAGGATTTGAGTTCTCTTCCCATTTTCCTGGCTGCTCTGTCAGGCTGGATCATGGCTGGGCCATTGTCACTCCACKGTGATCAGGAGATGTGAGGTCACCTCCCAGTGAGTTTGATTTCTCCTGGTGTCGATTAAACTCAGCCTTGGCCTTGAGTAGGTCACAGTTGAATGGCAGCTGTGACTCAGAAAGTGATGTAAGAAAGCAGGGAGAGGAAAAAGGAGAAACTGTTCAAACCTCAGCCARGTTTTGTCCGTTTTCAGGGCTGATTTTGGGCTGGAGGGGTTTGGAACAGGGCGCTGACATCGGTTTGGAACAGATAATGTCCCTCCAGCAGCCCCTTCCACAACAAATCACTCCTGATTAGTGTTGTGTGTGTGGTGCTGAAATCTCCTCCTGAACTATGACATTTGCTCTGTAACCTTTTGTCATTCCCAAAATGAAAATTGTCCAAGCTCAACCTCATCCCCCAGTTTTCCTTGGAAATTATCCTTTACCCTCACATYAGACTGAGGGATCGAAAACATTGAGGGATCTCCAAAGCCAACGAGATCAGGGCAGGGGCCCAGATTTCTCCTCTGAGCCACAGCTGCCCAAAAGCACCTCCATTTTTCCATTTGTTTATGGAAATGCTTTTGGAAATAACAAAATGGCTATTTTAATGGTGAGAAAAAATAACAAAAAAACCCCAAACCCTGGAATTGTAGAAATGTGAAAACTCTTTGCTGTAACAGCAGCAGAGTGCTGAGAATCAGCCAAAATTGCGCCCACAGCTGAGTTAAAAAAAAAAAAAAAAAGTGCCAGATTAATGGGCATAATCAAGGCTGACATTGGGTAAGAGGCAAGAACAAGTAATCAGATCCCAACTTAGCTGATGCTGGCATTACTGGGAGCCTGGGGCACAGTCCAAGGATAAAAGCATAACATCTTATCTAAGCAAGGAGTCATTTGTGCACCACTGGTTACAACAYGTCCTTAAAAAGGGAAAGAAGGAAAAGGAAAATATGGCACATGAAATTATTTTATTCCCCCAAAACGATAAGAAACTGAAGCTAGATATTCCTGCACCCAATTTTTATAGAGGGGAAGCCTATCTAGAGTTAACCCGTTGCAATGCTTACTGTAAATCCCCACGATATGAAAAAAAAAAAAAATTTAAAAAAGTGAAATGGGGATTACATCAAATTAGTATAATGAAGACACTAAAAACCTCAGGTTTTGGAATATTTCTTGCTGTTTGGAGATTGCTGGGATCCATGGAACCCGGCTGCTCCTCGGTTCAGTGAGAGTTCAGGCCGTCTGGCAATCCCATTCTTTTGGCCAAGGCYGCTTTTCTGGCAACACATTCTCCCTGTTTCTCAAGACTCCTCTTTTCCTCCAGATTCAACAGGATATTGACCTGGATCTCTCAGAACAGCTCATGGAGAGGAAAGACCCTCTGACACAGAACAACGTCACTGGAGAGGGAACTGTAGTGTCAGGGAGGGCATCTGGAAGATCAAAATGGGAATTAATCACTCCAAACTTCATTGCTTTGCATGGCTGAGTTTTATATCCAGTTTTTCGCAGCACAGCTCATGAGCTTTAAAAAAATAAAGGAAGAACTTTTGTGTAAAATTCAGTAAATTAAAAAAAAAGAAAACAAAACAAAACAGACGAAACGCCACGGGCCTGCGGGGAAAATCTGSAGTTGTGTTTCCGTAATACGGACTTTTCCCAGAACAGGCAGGCGTGGGTCAGCGGGAAATCAACACCGCACATCTGCGAGGGAGAGTGCCCAGCTCCACCCAGCCTTGGCCATTTTCATCATTTGCCATCGTTTGAAACCTTCCACGATGATAACTCACAACCACAGCCTGGCTCTTCCCCAGAGGGAGYTCGGGGTCGCTGGGGCTGCCTGGAGTGGGGAGGAAGGTACAGATGAGAAGGATGGAGGGTGGTGGGTGGAGGTCACCTCTTCCCCTCCGCTCTGACTGTGGAGAAGGGTGAAACCATGAGTTTATTGGAAATGAACCTCGTTTCTCCCTTCCAGCAGCAGCTCGAGGCGTGACCCGGTGAGAGCACGGTGGTGTCTCACGGAAATGACTCAGGTTCTCAGTACTGAGCTGCCCTGATGGTCTTCAACCAGCGGGACATTGATTTATTGTCCTCATGAGCCTCGAGTGAYACCGTTTGCTCCTTCCCCAAGTGCTAGTAGCCATGCAAGGTGACAAGTGGTGATTGGCTGTGACCACTGCTCGGCCCCGGCAGAGTGACACGCGATGGCCTCTCCTCAGCCCTTCTCAAAATGTTTGTGCAGGAGCAGCCATAAATCGGGCTCTATTGACCCAAAGATGCAATCCAAGGCGCTCGAGTCTAGGCCTTATCTGCATCACCTTATCAGGAGCGAGGCAGCGAGATGCACCCCGGGAAGGGAGGGGACTGCGCMGGAGGGATCGGCCTCGTCCCTTCTGTCCTGGCACGGGGAGGGGACTGCGGGCAGAGCTGGGTAATGATTTGTCATCGCCAGGCCCGGGGTGTCTCTCTTTGCAGAGGAAACCTTGGCCGTGATTGACAGCGGGGCTGTTTTCGCCGCTTCCCTCGCTGTTGTCAATAATGAAGCTTTGTCAGTCCATCATGGACATGGATATGCCAGACTACGTCGACTCCTTGGACTCCTCTTACACCATGCTGGAATTCGACAATCTCCGCGTGCTCCCCAATAACACCGGTGAGAATTTTACCCGTTTTCTCTTGAGTAAGCTCCACTGTCTGTGTTGTAAAGCTGGACACCGAGGAGAGGTGGGTGGGAGGTGTGGGGCAAAGGGTGGAAGGGGTAATATTTAAGCAGCTGACCTGTCAACCTGGGTCGCACCCGTGGTTATGTTTGGGCTGAACGCGACCCCTTCACTTGCCGGTCCCGGTTTGGGTTATTCCTTTCGTTGGTGGGCTGTGCCATGTCCTGAAGAGAGGTTTTGCTAATGTTGGTAGAGATCTTCATGGCAATCTCCAGGGTTTGTCCCCCATGATTGTTTAGGAGAGGAGTTATTACCAATATTTCTGTTAAGACGGGCGTTTCATTGCCGTATATGACTTCGGTTGATGTTTAATCCTCGGCAAAACATGTCGTCCCAAATGGCATTTGTCCATGACCATGTGTCCTGTTTGAGTTGGTGGCAGGGGCTCAGACTGAGAAGCGATATCCAAATCATCCCTTGTATTCCTTTTCTGGCTCCCAAGATGGCCCAGCTKTTTTTAGGGCACAAAAGGACTCGGCTGGGAGGCAGGAGTGTTTATACGCCGAGACTTCCGCTTTGTTCACAGAAATWACACGCTTTGTGTGGTATTTAATTTTTTTTGCATCAAAAACACTCGGACATGAAGTGAACTCTATTTTGTGAAATCAACTGCTGGCTGTGTAAAAACAGAGGAGAGTTTGGTCATTTAGCACAAAGCCAATCGTGCAACTGAACGAGATCCCAGAGTCAGCCGTCCCTTTGGAGAGTTTTGGCAGCCTTTTCTTTTAATTTGTTAAGGAGCTTAGTGAAATTAAGACGGGATTTTCACAMTTGCTCATTAACTGGCTCATCAAAAGAAATTAGAGTTTCAGCAGGGCTATCGCCTACAATATGAAATGATTAAACTTATTACTGTGGGGCATGGAGGGACATCAAGAGACAAGTGAAGTTAAAAGGCCAAAGAAACTTGAATTTAAAGGTGACTCTTGGAAAGCTCTGGCTGTCCCCAAATCCAGGATTTTCAATATATATAATTTTTGCCAGCTCCAGATAGACTGGGTCTTATTCCTTATCCTTGCAGAAAGGTTTCCATCTCCCATCCTACTCCAGAAATGTTATTTAACACAGATGTTTCATTTTGTCACTTCCCATTGAACAACAAGGTATTTTTCACTTTTTGAAGTGGCACGAAAATTTGATATAATTTTGCAAACGAACCACCAACGCCTGTTTGGGCTCTCTGTTGATTCACGCAGTGGAACTGACAGGTTGAGTTTTTTTCTGAACTTTATTGAGCTCGGTATTGTGTTATTTGTTTAGCTGTTAATGACTAACCAGCTCTCTCGGGAAGTAGCTGCTTTGAAATTACCTTGTTTGTCTTGGGTAAGTGTTCTTTTCTTCAGTTTGTAAAAATAASTTCAAAAAAGAGCTGAAATGGCCATGCATGGAAATCTAGTGCTGTCCAGCTGAGTTCAGTCCCCTGAGGTAACTCAAAATCACAGTTTCCTTGCAGCTTCAGAAATATTTTAAAATTTGTTAGAATCAAGAAACKATCTCATTTTAGGTATTTTTTACAAGTATATTGGATATTTTTTAAGATTGTTTATACCTCTCCTAAGACTCATTTGTATTATTTTCCCTACTAAATGATGGCAGCTTTGTCCCCTATAAACACAAACAGGAAGGGATTCAATATTTATTTTAATGGACTTGAAACAGTTACTTAAYCTGAACAATTCCAAAAGTGAAACTTAGAATATTTGCAAACAAGGCCATGCTTTCTTGAATCCAACTCTTTCYTTCTTCAGAATATTATTTCCTCAAAATTTTGGGATGGATCAATTTTGTGGAGCGCTTTCTATGCTTTGATGTTTCTTCTTCAGCAATTTGCTATCTTTCTGAAATTTACTCAGATATGTATTTTGGATTTTCCACCTTCAAATATCCCATAGTCGGCCAAATATTTTAAGACTAATTCAAAATAAAGAATAAAACCCATTACGGGAGTGACATAAAAAATATTCTGGTTTAAGTAGATAGAGGAAAGAAGCAAAAACGACTCTGATTGTGTCTTTCCTTTGTGAAATATGTGTTGTAAGGGCAGAARTCTTCCCATTCTGTACAAATTCATTTCCTTTATCTTGGCTGGCACTACAAGCCATATTCTCAGCTTTTCTGTGTGGTTAAGTCCTGTTTCCTCATGTTCCTGTCAGAATTGTCTCATTCTGGTTAAAACATGAGACGTTATTTCAGTACAGCCCCATTCCTGTCAGGACTGCTTTCTCTCTTGTTGGCACCCCCAGACCTCACTGACTCCTGGGACTTTGGCACAAGGCTGGTGAAAGCTTTCCCAGCCCCGCTGACCCAGTTCAGACCCTACAAAAGCCACCAGAGATGTTTTGGCAGTGATTTTCCATCCCTCGAGCTGCGCCTGTCCCTGGGAGCAGCTCCGGCCTTTCTGCCTGGTCCTTTCATCATCATTCCTGCAGGATTTGGGATCTCTGAATCACAGCCAGGTTTTATATCTCAAACTTCCCTCTATTTGCTGAAAGCTGATGTAGAAAGAGGCTGACCTGCACGTGGCCAGGGTTTCACCCCCCTCCTGCCCTACATTTGTGTATATGGGTTTCGCAACACTGGCTTTGGCACCGAGTTTGGCTGTRTGTTTGCAAACCCTAACCCCACACTTGTGATCCTTTCCCATCCTAGCCCAGCACGTGTAACCTGGGGATTGGTTCACTGCAAATTATGTGCACCAAAACTTGGATTTCTGAGTAGGTAAAACCACCCTGGAAAGCATTGGAAGACAATTCTTTTTTACAATGAGCATCTGGAAGGGCTGTAGCCAGTGATGCAGCTGAAAGGAAAAGCGCTGCCGTGGTCAGGTACTGTGAGATCACCCCCGGGGTCATTCCTTGTCACTGTAAAACTGGAATTGTCATTTCAGCCCTGGCTAGGCCATGGTTTATGTGCAGAGGCAGTACGTACCCAAAATTTGCGTGCGTTTCAGTTTTGATCTTGGCTGACCCCAGAGCTGGGGAAGCCACTGGGATGCTCTTCTCGGCATTAGTACCTCCCAATCATCACTCTGATTGTAAATAACCCACAAAAAATGGTCAAACTTCAGGTTTTTCTGCCAGTGGACCTTGGGGACAGCCCTAGTGAGGCTCAGCTCAGCCTGGGAGCCACRCAAAATCGAGTTGTGGTCTCATTGGAGAACAAAACCCAGACAATTTCAGAGGCCCCATGGCAGGTTTAGGAACTGTTCCTCATGCCAGGCAGGGATGGAGCACATGAATTCCCTGGACTGTGCTGCTAGGGATCCTGGCTCTGCTCTGCCTTTCCTTGTAGTGAGCAGTCCAGGAAAACCCCAAATATTTRAAASCTGCATTGRAAGAGCCTTCTGGTGCCTGTGGATATCAGTTGTGCTCTGCTCTTCTCTGAGTTAATTCTCATTTGGAACCTATGGTTAGCTGCTGACAGGATTTCATAATTAAAATTTATCACCATAATTACCGTGCATTCTGGCTTAGGGCTTTCCTTTTGTTTTACTTTTTTTTTTT